ATTAAACGTTTTTCATTTGTCAATTTTCTTCAAAACTTGTCAGGATTCTATATCCTGTTTTAAACACACACACAGACAAACATAGTAGTGTCTGTCGACTCGCAAAGCGAGTATGACAATCACTGACATGCACAGCCCATCAGCTAAACTCCACCTTCCACGACACTGCATTTATCGGTTCTGTGAACGACAGTGGCTCATAAAGCCAGCCATCCATCTGTTGTTCATGATGACGGTCGTCTTTGAGTATAGAATCCAGAGGTTAGCAGTGAATATTTCGAAGACAGTAGGAAAGCGTTGTTCAGGTTAGCAGTGGATATTTTGGTAAAAGTAGCAGAGTGTAGTTCGTCCTTCTGGTTCTCTTCGCCTGACAAGCTGGCGCTGGACATTCGGGTAGAGTAGACAAAATGCCCGCCTTTATACAAGACGGATTGAATGTTCCACGTCTTCTGATTGGTTAACCTTCTGTTGGTGGACTATAAAGTGAGTCAAGTCATTTGGGCTAACTCAATATCTGCATTTTTGTCACATACGTGGCATATAAAATCATCTTCGGGTGGTGGAAGTTGACTTTGATCATCATCACTTCTAATGTGTCTTTTCATATGCTTTGACAGGCCCGATCTGGACTTGCACAACCTAGTGCAATTCGGGCATTCAAAACGTGCCTTTACGAAATCGTCATACGCATTAGACTGTCGGTGTTGGTTTGATTTCTGGTGACTGTGCAGACCCACCCTGGACAGACATATCCGATTGCATTGGGCACATGGCCAGATTGGCACCTCATGGTAATTCACTATTTACATTGTTCGGACTATCGTCCTCATCTTTGTTACCACATTTATCACAACGTTTCGGCCGTTGTACGCTCCGGCATTCTTCAGGTGATTGGAATGTCGAACTGAACCCTATATTTTCACTCGCTGTCATGTCTAATGGATGTTAGTTATCAGTTATCTCCTGTTAATTCCCCTCTCCAAGTTCTCCACCGCCTTAAGCAGGTATTGAACTCATACTCTCTGTGTCCTGTCACTGGATCTAATTAACGCCTTTATCCACTGTGCCATGTGTCCTCAAGGCGTTAGGTCCAGTGAGTGAGAGACGACATAAGAATGAAGTCTGTATTATGTCTGCTCGTTTCACGCTTAAATGTGTATATACGTATTTTTTTTAAATTGATTTCACACCAAGCAAGGCCGTAATGTCATTAAAACACAAGGAGTTAAAGGGTGTGGAAGAATTAGGTACAGAAGCATTAATGATGAGCAGAAAAAGAAGAGAGTAACCAGGGGGACTGTAGATAGTGATTGGCATTGCATTTAAATTTTTGCAGATTGAAGTTCACTGGAAAGCCTGGAGCCCTAAGTGAGTTCCACAGGCGAGGAGTGCGAGAAAAGAAACTGTTAGCATAGAACTTACGGCTACATCTAGCCAGCTCAACTGCAAATTCATGAGATCATGAGTACCAGTCTAGTACTATATATATATATATATATATATATATGAGAGAGAGAGGGAGAGAGATGCAATTTCAATCATCGACGTAGCCATACTGAAAGACCATTAATCAAATATTTATTGACATCGATCATCAGAAATGCATGATGCGGAAACGTCTCCAAAAATCGATCTGGTCTGATAATGCCTCTGAATGTGCGCCAGGCCCCTTGCCCTGATGAAGGCTACTAGGAAGTGACACAGTCGGAAGGTTTTGTTGGCTGTGCATTCCTGCATTCACTGCGAAATAGGAGGACTGATATTACGTAATAGTTCAGTACTCTTTTCTTTATTTCTGTTGCTTCAAGTCTCTTCTTCATCTGTGAGGAGATTGTCCAGCATTCACTGCCATATAAGGAGGACTGATATTACGTAATAGTTCAGTACTCTTTTCTTTGATTCTGTTGCTTCAAGTCTCTTCTTCATCTGTGAGGAGATTGTCCAGCATTCACTGCCATATAAGGAGGACTGATATTACGTAACAGTTCAGTACTCTTTTCTTTGATTCTGTTGCTTCAAGTCTCTTCTTCATCTGTGAGGAGATTGTCCAGCATTCACTGCCATATAGGAGGACTGATATTACGTAACAGTTCAGTACTCTTTTCTTTGTTTCTGTTGCTTCAAGCCTCTCCTTCATCTGTGAGGAGATTGTCCAGCATTAACTGCCATATAGGAGGACTGATATTACGTAACAGTTCAGTACTCTTTTCTTTGTTTCTGTTGCTTCAAGCCTCTCCTTCATCTGTGAGGAGATTGTCCAGCATTAACTGCCATATAGGAGGACTGATATTACGTAACAGTTCAGTACTCTTTTCTTTTGTTTCTGTTGCTTCAAGCCTCTCCTTCATCTGTGAGGAGATTGTCCAGCATTCACTGCCATATAGGAGGACTGATATTACGTAACAGTTCAGTACTCTTTTCTTTGTTTCTGTTGCTTCAAGTCTCTTCTTCATCTGTGAAGAGATTGTCCAGCATTTACTGCCATATAGGAGGACTGATATAACGTAACAGTTCAGTACTCTTTTCTTTGTTTCTGTTGCTTCAAGTCTCTTCTTCATCTGCGAGTAGATTGTCCAGCATTCGCTGCCATATAGGAGGACTGATATTATGTAACAGTTCAGTACTCTTTTCTTTGTTTCTATTGCTTCAAGTCTCTTCTTCATCTGCGAGTAGATTGTCCAGCATTCACTGCCATATAGGAGGACTGATATTACGTAACAGTTCAGTACTCTTTTCTTTATTTCTGTTGCTTCAAGTCTCTTCTTCATCTGTGAGGAGATTGTCCAGCATTCACTGCCATTTAGGAGGACTGATATTACGTAACAGTTCAGTACTCTTTTCTTTGTTTCTCTTGCTTCAAGTCTCTTCTTCATCTGTGAGGAGATTGTCCAGCATTCACTGCCATATAGGAGGACTGATATTACGTAACAGTTCAGTACTATTTTCTTTATTTCTGTTGCTTCAAGTCTCGTCATCTGTGAGGAGATTGTCCAGCATTCGCTGCCATATAGGAGGACTGATATTATGTAACAGTTCAGTACTCTTTTCTTTGTTTCTATTGCTTCAAGTCTCTTCTTCATCTGCGAGTAGATTGTCCAGCATTCACTGCCATATAGGAGGACTGATATTACGTAACAGTTCAGTACTCTTTTCTTTATTTCTGTTGCTTCAAGTCTCTTCTTCATCTGTGAGGAGATTGTCCAGTATTCACTGCTATTTAAGGAAGACTGATAAGTATAAGTGTCCTTTTTTTTCTATTTTCTCGAAAACTTCATAATTTCTCACATGTTTAGTACATTGTATTCTCAGCATCCTTCTGAACAAATGGGGGTGGCTTGGAAAAAGTGGAAAATGCGAGGAGAGGGGAGGATTCGTCGAGAATCTAATTTATTTGAATAAAAGAATGGTATTTAAACAAATTAAACAATCAGCGAAGAGACAAGAATAATGTCGGACTCGTCAAGTATTGCTGCATTCTGTCGAGGAATATCGTATTCTTGTTTACGTCTTCGTTGTCGCAAATTCCTGCAGGAGCAGTCTTGGCTTTGGTCGTCTTGTTTAGCTCCGCTGTTTCAGAATCTTGGAAAATCTCGATGGGAATTTCTTCGGAAAAAACACATGAGTCACCGCGTGGTTTTCTATTCTCAGACATATCTTTTAAATTCTTTTTTTTTTTTTTTTTTAAATAAAATAAAAAATAACAAGGAAAAGTGGCGCGTTTCAACTATTCTTTTTGATTTGCTATGGTAGCGTAATGGATAGCGGCTCTGATTGAGGAATCGGAGAGCCGAGTTCGAATTCCAGTCGAATCCATTACATTCACTTACTTACTAATACCTTTGGGAAAGGTGTAAATCCTCTTCTCCCCCCCCCCCAGCTATGGGTAAATAGCAGAACAGACCGGGCTCTATAGCGTTGGATGGCAGCTGGTCTACCGCAGAAAGAAATGGCAAACTACTGCGTGAAAAAATATCTGCTTCGTCAGTCATGTCTCGAAAGATACATGATCGCCTAAGCGTGTATCACACGTACAAAAATAAGAGCCGAAACTTCAATGTGAAATTTGAAAGGAACAAATATTTATTACATTTACATAAAAGAACATGGAACAAATACGCTTTTTCCAAAATAGGTGTTATATTCCGTGCTAAGGGAATAAATACTAAAACACCAGGTGGATAATAGAAGAAAGGTTTATTGCACACAACCAGTATAATATGAAATACGGTAAAGTTATATACACAGGTCAATCTAGTAATGAGTGCCACTAACTGGAAGGTCGGACTTGCTTGCGTCGTCTCTCTCTCTCTCTCTCTTCTCTTCCCACGTCTAACCCGTCTCTCGTAGACAGTCGACTTTATAGGTACTTACTACCTATAGTGTAATAATTAATGGGGGTGACTGGCTATTCCATTACATCAACAGATTTGCACAAAAATTTCCTTTCGTGCGCCTTATCATTAACAAGGCAAGATAGCCAGATCAAAATATAGAATTGTAGGCTCATAAAAAGAGATAGAATTCAAATTTCCAGTAAACGAAAGCATAAAGATTGAAATAATGTCCCAATTTTTCTGCGGACCATGAAAAATTTTGCACGGATCATCAGTGGTCCACTACTAACGTAGATTATTATAATATTTATTATTTACATTATTTATATTCCGACTATTGTCCTAATCTTTGCTGACGTTATCACAGCGTTTCGGCCGCTGTGCACTCCGACCTTCCTCAGGTGTACATCGATCTGGATAACGTACAGGTAATTTTTGTATTTTCCTCTCAAGAGAACGAGCAATAAACGAACAGTGTATCGCATTATTTTTAATTATTTTATATTACTTTCTAATATTTTATATATATATATATATATATATATATAAATCTGAATGATGTATCCAGTCCCTGATACAGACACCTGCTCAGTCACATTTGTGTTTGTTCAGCACCCACAGAACCAACCTGTTGTTTATACTGTAACTATGCTGAGTGGACTTTAGTTACGGAGATAGATAGATAGATAGATAGATATGAACAGACTCAGATAGATAGATAGATATGAACAGACTCAGATAGATAGATAGATAGATATGAAGAGACTCAGATAGATAGATAGATAGATAGATATGAACAGACTCAGATAGATAGATAGATAGATAGATATGAACAGACTCAGATAGATAGATAGATAGATATGAAGAGACTCAGATAGATAGATAGATAGATAGATGAAGAGACTCAGATAGATAGATATGAAGAGACTCAGATAGATAGATAGATATGAAGAGACTCAGATAGATAGATAGATAGATATGAACAGACTCAGATAGATAGATAGATAGATATGAACAGACTCAGATAGATAGATAGATAGATATGAACAGACTCAGATAGATAGATAGATAGATATGAAGAGACTCAGATAGATAGATATGAAGAGACTCAGATAGATAGATATGAACAGACTCAGATAGATAGATAGATAGATAGATAGATAGACTCAGATAGATATGAACAGACTCAGATAGATAGATAGATGAATGTGACTCAGACTCAGATAGATAGATAGATAGATATGAACAGACTCAGATAGATAGATAGATAGATAGATGAATAGACAGACTCAGATAGATAGATAGATATGAACAGACTTAGATAGATAGATAGATATGAACAGACTCAGATAGATAGATAGATATGAACAGACTCAGATAGATAGATAGATAGATATGAACAGACTCAGATAGATAGATAGATAGATAGATATGAACAGACTCAGATAGATAGATAGATAGATAGATATGAACAGACTCAGATAGATAGATAGATAGATATGAACAGACTCAGATAGATAGATAGATAGATAGATATGAACAGACTCAGATAGATAGATAGATAGATATGAACAGACTCAGATAGATAGATAGATAGATAGAGAATAATCTGTCCGGATTAACAGTTTTAACAACGCAAGTGCCCTCTAATCCTCGGATTTCGAACTTTATTTTATTTTTGAAGAATAAAGTTGATAAAAACAAAAAGCGGAAATTATTTATGACTGAACCTGAGAGCCAGGATTTGTCAAAAAGAGACCAGCTGGTTGTTTGATTGGTCAGTAAATAAATACAGCAGTTTGATTGGTCCCTGTTGTTTGATTACAACACGTCCTTGAACCTCTGACCTTGCTGGAAGAAAACAAGCCCGATTCGGAAATGAGATTCCTGTTCTTTGCTTGGACGTATCAATGGATGTCGACTGTGTCAGTACATTTTCTTTTTGAATCGAAGATTTAGAATTACTTGAACATAAGCTAAACAGAAGCAAACTGCAGCATCTGTTTTCAATGGGTTGGCCTTGTGTATTGTGTCTATTATTGTTATTTTCTGAAAAGGGGGGTTGATCGGCCTTGTCACCTCTTGGCATTTTTATTATTTTTTGAACTTTAATCTTTCATTTATTATCTTTTTTTTTTCCCCTTTTTCTTGCCTCTCTTGGGATAATAGAATCTAACATAGTGACGTATATCCAGAAAAATTGCAAATTGCAAAGACATCTGCTGACCGTACCGGTGACAGCTCTTCCGGTGAGGGGAACACTACCGTGACATGTTGATCTTTTTTCTTCTTCTGTTTGCCGCGTCCCTCCATGACGTTAGCGGTCATGGTTCTCCACAGTTTCCGTTACTTTGGCACTCTTTGGTAAAATGGGGAAAAAACTGCTAAGGATCGCAGTGAATAGAAAGTTGTGGAGGGCCATGATCAATCTTGAAACGTGAAAAATATCACGGAATTATTTTGCTGCTTAATCTTAGATCTTGAATAATTAGGGGTGGGGGAGATTAAGCGGCGGGGTTGAATTTTTTTTATCTCAAAATCTAAAAATACGGGGTATTTGAATAAACAGACGAGCTGGAAAAAAAAATCCAGAAGTGGTAACGCTTAGTCTAGAATTTAGCTTATTTGAACAAATTCTTCTTCTACGTGCCGTTGGCGAACATGGCTCTCCACTAATTTCCTCTCCTTTGTAGATCTTAGTAAATTTCTAAGCGCCCGTTCTGCCATCCATTTACATAAGTCTCGTTAAGTAGGTTAATGCGCTGTTTTCCTCTATCCTTCTTGCCTTCAATATGTCCTGTGAGTGTCAAATTTTCCAAGCCCTTCACAATGTGCCGTAAAGATTTCAACTGTTTCTTTCTGATGTTAAGCATAAGCGTCCTTTTCGTTTCTATTTTCTATTCAGTTCGTGGTATTTTCAACATCTTTCTGTGAAACCAGATTTCTGTCTCCTCAAGTCTCTTCTTCATCTGCATTTACTTGCATATAGGAGGACTGAAATTACGTAACAGTTCAGTTCTCTTTTCTTTCTGTTGCTTCAAGTCTCTTCCTCATCTGTGAGAAGATTGTCCAGCAGTCACTGCCATATAGGAGGAATGATATTACGTTCAGTTCTCTTTTCTTTGTTTCAAGTCTCTTCTTCATCTGTGAGGAGATTGTCCAGCATTCACTGCCATAAAGGAGGACTGATATTACGTAACAGTTCAGAGACCGACTTGAGTTCGACCATCTTTACCTGTTTTTATCCTTACTCCCCATAAATTATTTCTGAATAAAAAAGGAGAACGAACATACTCATAAGACCTTTCACTTTGTTTCAACACTATTGAAACATATTTTTCACTATTTTAACCGAAAAGATGTAAATATTACTTGATTAAAAACATAAAATTACCGTTCGTTAAGTCGGAAGTTAGCAATTTATTGTGCTAGTCCCACTTCACTTTGAGACTGACACGAATAAAAAGAATACGTTATCAATATGTAATAAAGATATTTATTTAGACCTAAACATGAATACCCATCTGGTGTAGTGAAATAGGGCCAGATAGCTTGTCCTTTAAACCAATGATTCCCAACGTGGGGCGCATGCCCACCGGTGGGGCATGATAATATTTTGGTGAGGCATGCTTAGGATATGCACTCTTCGGCTTACCATCCCAGCAGAATAAAGGATCAATTCGAGAAGGAGTTATTAACAGTGAATTGTTTTCTAGTGAGCTTAAATTTCGTTTTGCCTTATTATTTCATGACTAGCAGCATGACCCGGCGTTGCCCGTGCTTGATTCAAAAATCTTATGACTCATACAGCAATCGCTATCACATGACTTAAAATATTTTTGTCCTTCCTTGCCTTTAAAGGAGTGCCCTTTACCGTGCTGATGTTACTACATGCCTTACTTCTTGCCTATCTCACTCTGCGAATTTTTTCAAAGCTCTATACTAAACATCTGTTACGAAAAAAGAACTAAAGAAAATGAACACAAAACGATCAGCTTTAAAAAAAAAGGACTCGTAACTGGAAAAACCGAATGAAAAAAGAATATTAACAACAAATACTTTTTCACACCCAACCCAGTTCTTCGGAATCAGAATTAACGTTGAGTTTAAGCAAGCGAATGAGCCAATTGGAGTAGAGTGCCATGAAGATTTAAATTTTTCACACTTGTGACGAATGCAGCTATCGTTTTTTTGCATGCTAGCATACTAGTTAATATTTGTGTCAGTCAGCTGTTGGCTCTCACGCAGGCCAATAGAATCTTCCTGCCTATTCATGGCAGCCATCTATATACTCTCACTCTGGCCAGTACAAAATGGCCGCAAACTACATGAAAACTGCCGTAGAAGCATGAAAAAATCGATTATTTCCACTATCGATGGGAGTTGGGAAATGCAAAGTCGGTCTTGGCCTTCCCGCTAACTTGGAGCATGTGCATGTAAATTTTGGTGCCAATCCGTCGAAAATTGCGGCTGTGCATTCGTTACACAAAAACACACATCCTGCCTTTTATAGATATAGATTAAAACGATCAAGGTATATTACAGAATAAGCTTTCATTGAAATATTTTATATTTCTGCCTTCAGTTCTGTATTATATGTTTTGAAACTAATATATATATATATATATATATATATATATAACTGTCTTTTTTTAAAAAAATTTCTCTTTCATGGACGCCATGGTCTTTGGAGGCTTGTTTAGAGACCAAGTTAATGACTTTTTAAGTTTCCTTCACGTGAATTGCAGTAAAATTTTGAATGTGTAAGAATTAAATATTACAGTGGGGTACCAAAAGTTTTAGAAATAACAAAGCGGGCCATGGCCCCAAATCATTTAGGAACCATTGCTTTAAACTTTTGGTAACCGGAAGCGTTGACGGCGGAGAACATTTCTTGCGTGTTGATTCCGAGCAGATCCGGTCGCTTCTCGTTGGCGGTTAGCTTTTTCTAAACCCACGTGGTTTTATTAACCAATGAGAGACCGCCTAAATATCATGTGCTCAATCTCTATATACAGGAGCAGACTAATTTTATAAACCCACACCGTCAACATAGAAGTAGCAAACGTCCGTAGCAGAAGCACAAGTTTTTTGGTTTTTTTTTGTACGAGTCTGTCTCTGTTTATATATCGAACCCGTGCCTTCACCTAAGAAAATGCACACAGACAAAACTCACAATCTTGTTAACATCCACCATACCTTGAACCTAACTTAACCGATGCTTGTTGCATTGAAAACGTTCGTAAGTCATTGTCAAAGAATTTCCGTTGGTAAATTTGTACTTGTATGTATTCTCTGTTTTTCCTTCCTTCAGTATGTCATGTGAGTTGAAAATTTTCAAAGCCTCGTTTCCACATTATGTGTCTCGGAAAACTTCAACTGTTTTATTTTCTCCGATTTCACAACACTTCCTTTTCACATTTTCCGTTTCTAGAAATACGTCTCTGCTGTTTCGGGTCGTTCCTTCTCAGTGACAGACTGGGTCTAAAAATATGGGTTGCCAGGAGACCCCCACCCACTACTACAATGCTATCATTTAAATTTCATAATAAATACCGTACATACTTGCGTACCATGCAACTTTTGAAGACATCATTTTGAAGCTCATGAAAGTGGGGATTGCATCATGCAAATAGATATAAAATTAATGAATGTACTGTTGGCTCTGGCTATAAAATTGAACTATATATATATATATCCATTTACTGCAATCAAAAAGTACAGCTGTATTTAAAATCAACATAATTTTGATAATACTGATGTTTTACGTAACTGTATCCAATAATAATGCACGCAATATTCACATATTATCCTATTATAAAATACAAACATAGTGAATATGTATCTTTTCCATTGTTTCCGTTTATAAGATGTTTAGCTGTTTCTCGTTCGGTTGTTTATGGCTGTACACATTTACGGAACGAGTCTAGCGTTACTAACGATACTTTTATAGGGGAGATGCTACATATATTCATCTTTTGACTAGGAAAGGCGTGATTAAAGAAAGCAAAGACCCTGGAGGTTACTATCCAATGTGGCGTGCACAATGCAATTTCTATTTGACGTAAAATAGCACATAGTATAAAATACAAAACAGAATGTAATGATTCAAAACATAACAATTGAATTTATTAGTGTTTGGTGTACATGCATATAAGCTGAAAGTTTGATAGAGTTTTGTCTCTTAGATTTGGAAATATTTGTACCTGAGCTCATAAAGTGAATTAATTATTAAACTGTAGTTTAGAAGAATAAGTTCCTATTGCATGTTAGGAATTGTGGATTGGATAAAGTTGGTAAGAGTTCAGAAGAGATTTTAGAGTTCGTACTTGCGTGAAATGGTAATGGTCTTTAACGTCTGACCGCAAGGTTAAGATGAGAGTTCTTGAAGGTTATATTTTGGCAGCAAGGATTGAGACGCAAGAGAGACTGATTATTTATTGTACTTTGTACAAATACGGCACAAAGCCAAAAAGGGGGTTGGGGTAAAGGACGGTCATCACTTGTCTTAGATTAAAACTTAGCTAGCCACAACCACTGACCCTATCATACAGATCAAAATTCCTTTCACCAAAACAACACATTTATCCATACCTTTCTTACTACAAACACCAAAATGCCTCTTTGACTCCATGAAAAAACCTAACTGTTCCCCTTATGTACAAAATATTGTCTGTGGGGGGAGGGGCATAAAAAAACAACTTCTAAAAATGATCCCCAATGAATATATACACAATGACAAAAATATGACGCAAGAGAGACTGAAGAGAGCTTATTAGTGTTTTGTTTATATATGGCTGTGTATCAGGTAGTAGGCTCAGAACTTGTGCGCGGGAAAATTATTCCTCGCTTGCCAGATATCTGATTGGTCGGAATTGACCAATCAGCAAGCTAGTTTTGAGGAGATCAACCAATGAATGCTTGTCGCATGATTTCTATGTACTGTGTGTATGTAGTGCTGGTGGTAGTTACCACACTTTTATCATTTTCTTTTACTTGTTTTTAAACTTACTTAACTAGAAGACGAGATAAAGAGATAGCGGAAAAGAGGTTAGTTTATTTTAATTCAGTCTCTCAAACAAAGGAACTTGTACTATTATTGCGTAGGCAGCGATTGTTACAGTATACTCGCGTATCATGCGACTTTTGAAAACCTAATTTTGAAGCTAATTTTAAGAGGGTTGCATCATACACGAGATATAAAATTAGCGTATCTTCTGCTGTCCCTGGCTACGCCGTTGACCGAAGTATACATCCATTAGCTTTAGTAAAAACATGCAGCTGTATTTAAAATAAACACCGAACGTTACACGAGTATATACGGTAAATAAAATTTTCCAAAAATACAGAGGTAAAAAAGGGTATAATTAAAATATTTGTTTAAAAAATAAATGTATGTTTCTTAGTAATTACTTATACTGTAAATATGACTGGTAGTAGATACCAAATTTAAATACAGAACGTTATAATTTAATTTTTAATTATTATTTTTTAGTTTTAAGTACTTGGTTGAACGTTATAATTTAATTTTACAGAACGTTATAATTTAATTTATAATTATTATTTTTTAGTTTTAAGTAATTGGTTGAACGTTATAATTTAATTTTACAGAACGTTATAATTTAATTTTTAATTATTATTTTTTAGTTTTAAGTACTTGGTTGAACGTTATAATTTAATTTTACAGAACGTTATAATTTAATTTTAATTATTATTTTTTAGTTTTAAGTAATTGGTTGAACGTTATAATTTAATTTTACAGAACGTTATAATTTAATTTATAATTATTATTTTTTAGTTTTAAGTAATTGGTTGATATTTTTAAATAGTTAACTGTACAATTTACGCGTTAACAGGTTGTTCAAAAGCACAACAGAGCATTGCATGCAGTCTACTACATTAAGAATAATCGTTTACGTTCACTGAATGATTGTTTGAAGCGACCAATAATTGCTTCTGCACCCAATTCATCGAACATTTCATTTTCAATGGATAGCAACGTGTATGATTCCGAATTCTCCTCTGACAGCAAATTTCTTAGCCTTGTGTTTATGATCTTAGCTTTGGAAATGTCCTCTCAGACTTGAATTACTGATTGTGTGCAGATGATTTCGTAAAGTTTTTTTTTTTTCCTTTTCATTACTCAAAAAGTTATCCGTGTTTGTTTCTTTATTGCATTTTTATTTGATATTGGGGGCTCACTCCATCAGGGGGCCCACTTGACATCGAGCAAGCTGACACCTGGGCCAGTTCGCCATTGTTTGCCAAAATGGAGCAAAAAAAAAAAAAAATAGAAAAATCAAGCATGCAATAAAGGAACAAATCAAATAAATAAATCTTGACTTGTGAAGGTTCTTGCTTGGGTGTAGACCTTCCCCAGATTCATTGGGGAGAGGAATCGGACGTTAACCTCCGGCGTTGGTAGGGGCTGACGTGACATGCTTAGCGCGAACGTTTCTCTTTTCCAGTTCGTGATCGTACGTTAGCGAATGTAACGAACCCGATTGGAATTCGAACTCGGCTGTCCAAATTTCTATTCCGATCCGTTATCCATTACACGACCCACACATCCAAGCTTACAGCACTTGGTATTCCCAAGCGATCGCCAAGTCTATCTTGGTACTGGCCAAGAACCTCCAAGCGGTCACCCATCTAGGTACTGATCAGGCGTAACGTGGCTTAACTTCAGTGATCGAACGAGAACGATGTTTCAACATGATATGGCCGTAAGCCAAGATCCCCGGCAGATCCAAGCTGAGAGTACCTGGTATTTCCAAGTGGTTACCTATCTAGGTACTGATCAGGCGTAACGTGGCTTAACTTCAGTGATCGAACGAGAACGATGTTTCAACATGATATGGCCGTAAGCCAAGATCCCCGGCAGATCCAAGCTGAGAGTACCTGGTATTTCCAAGCGGTCACCCACCAAGGTACTGATCAGGTGTAACGTTGCTTACCTTCGGTGATCGGACAAGAATCGATGTTTCAACGTAAGCAAATAAATTCATCAATCTTAATTGCAAATGAAATTAAATCTTTGAAATAAAAGTTCGGGTGATTTTTAAACCGTTTCATTAATTGGAATGCATCAATTGATTGATTTTTTACAGCTTATCACCCCTTGTTCAGGTTATTTAAAGCCAGAAAATATTTTTTAAATCTAAGAACGTTTTTGAGATAATAGTAATTTTACTGATACAAGTCATATTAGTTAAACCATAATTGGTGGCAGGGAAAGGTGGATTCATACCTTTACCAAAGATATTTACACGTAAGTGAAAATGAACTCGACCGGAATTGGAACTCGGATTTCAAATTCCGAGCCGTTTTCCATTACACCACACAAATCCAAGCTTACAGACATGGTATTCCCAAGCGGTCACCCATCTATGATACTGACCAGGTTCGATGTTGCTCAACCGGTGTTTCAAAGTCATATGACCGTAATCGGAATGCAAATCAAATGTTTTCATTCATGATCAAAGACTATATTTTGATGGATTTGTTTAATGGCATATCAACTCCTTTATGGGTCATTTAATGCTGAAATTTACTTTTCTTGAGAGATTTGAAGTAATAAAGATATGATATATGTTATTCTTCTCTCACAATTGAATACATGGTAGATGATACGCAGCCTTTGTGCATATACATGTTTGTTTGGACACAATTACTAGGAGACGGTGATATATGTGTTTTATCTTGAAGTTATATTTTGGAATACAGTTTGATTTCTTTAAATAATTGTCGGGTATTATATGGGTCAATGTCATGAAAGAGTTCTTTCATATTGGTTGGGTGGTTGATTTTGTTTAGTGGCATATCAACTTACCATTTCAGTGCAGAAATCTAAATAAGTATGTATGGAAAGTGTCAGCCATGGTAAGTTTAATCTATCTATCTATCTAGATATATATATATATATATATATATGTATGTATATATTTATATATATATGTATGTATGTATATATTTATATATATATGTATGTATGTATATATTTATATATATATGTATGTATGTATATATTTATATATATATGTATGTATATATTTATATATATATGTATGTATATATTTATATATATATGTATGTATATATTTATATATATATGTATATATATTTTATATATATATGTATATATATTTATATATATATATGTACGTATATATTTATATATATATATGTACGTATATATTTATATATATATATATATGTATATATTTATATATATATATATACGTATATATTTATATATATATGTACGTATATATTTATATATATATATGTATATATATTATATATATATATATTTATATATGTATATATATATTATATGTATATATATATTTATATATATGTATGTATATATTTATATATATGTATGTATATATTTATATATGTATGTATGTATATATTTATATATGTATGTATATATATTTATATATATATATATATATATTTATATATGTTATATATATATATATATGTATGTATACGTTTATATATATATATGTATGTATACGTTTATATATATATATGTATGTATATATTTATATATATATATATGTATAAGTTTATATATATATATGTATGTATATATATATATATATATGTTTATATATATATATATGTATATGTTTATATATATATGTATGTATGTATATGTTTATATATATATGTATGTATGTACATGTTTATATATATATATGTATGTACATGTTTATATATATATATGTATGTATGTACATGTTTATATATATATGTATGTATGTACATGTTTATATATATATGTATGTACATGTTTATATATATATGTATGTACATGTTTATATATATATGTATGTATAATTTATATATATATATATATATATATATATATATATATATATATGTATGTATATGTTTATATATATGTATGTATATGTTTATATATATATGTATGTATGTATATGTTTATATATATATGTATGTATGTATATGTTTATATATATATGTATGTATATATGTTTATATATATGTATGTATGTACATGTTTATATATATATGTATGTATGTACATGTTTATATATATATGTATGTATGTACATGTTTATATATATATATATATGTACATGTTTATATATATGTATGTACATGTTTATATATATGTATGTACATGTTTATATATATGTATGTACATGTTTATATATATATATATATAGATGTATGTATATGTTTATATATATATAGATGTATGTATATATATATGTATATATATATGTATATATTTATATATAATTATGTATATGTTTATATATAATTATATATATGTTTATATATATATATATATATGTATATATTTATATATATATATATATATGTTTATATGTATGTATATGTTTATATGTATGTATATATATATCTATGTGTATGTATGTATATGTTTATATATATATGTGTGTATGTATGTATATGTTTATGTATATGTATATATATATTTTATATATATATATATATATGTATGTATATATATATACACACACACACATATATATATATATATATTTGTATTAGGTTCAGTCATCAATAATTTCAGATTTTATTTATGTTTACGTATCAAATCCTTATATGTCATTTAATATCAAAATTTAAATTTCTTGGGTGCTTTGAAGTAATAAAAATATGAAATATGTTATTCTGCTTTCACAATTGAATACATGGTAGATGATACACAGCTTTTGTGCATATACATGTTTATGTAGGACATGATCACTAGAGGCAGTGATATGGGTTTTATGTTGTAGTTTTGTTGAAGTTATACTTTGGAATACAGTTTGATTTCTTTAAGAAATTGTACGATATTTTATGGATTAATGTCATAAAAGAGTTTTTTTTTATGTTGTTTGTTTTGCGGCATATCAACATCTCTATGGTTTATTTAATGCCGGGGTCTAAATATTTTACATATAATTTTATGCCTTCAACTACAGATATTTTCTACATAATTGGATACTTTCAGTATTTTTTACGTATATATTTTGTAAATCATAAAATATATTGTAGGTAATTGCGCTATAAAATATACTATTGATTTGTGTTTGAGGGTTCATGATTTGCCCATAGCTGGGACACTAACAGGTGCTACCACCTCACCATAGAATGACCTAAATTAGAAATGTCACCTTATATCAATTTAAAACTATCCATCAAAATCTTGTATTAAAAATAAAAGAAATCCCCAAAACTTTGTAACTAGAGATGGGACAAATATATTTTCCGAGGGAATAAATTATAGTCCTGGAAACCTGAAGGTGTCTTTTTCTTAAGTTTTTAATAAATATTTGCTCTATTGTTACATTGAGCTCTCTGGATTACATAATCTTTGGAATTATCCACACGGATTACAAACCCTTCATTACCTTACTTATATGTATGTACGTATGTGTGTGTGAAATGGGTATATATGTATATGTATGTATGTGTGTATGAAATGGGTATATATGTATGTATGTGTGTGTGAAATGGGTATATATATATGTATGTATATGTATGTGTGTGTGAAATGGGTATATATGTATGTGTGTGTGAAATGGGTATATATGTATATATATGTGTGTGTGTGTGTGTGTGTGTGAAATGGGTGTATATATATATATGTGTGTGTGTGTGTGTGTGATATATATATATATATATATATATATATATATTTATATATATGTGTGTTTAAAATGGGTATATATGTATATATATATATATATATATGTGTGTGTAAAATGGGTATAAAATGGGTGTGTGTATATATATATATATATATATATATATATATATATATATGTGTGTGTGTGTGTAGAACTTATTGGAAAGCACTCAATATCAGTGAAAGAGCTAACATATTTGGATTGGTGTGAGTTTCTGACCCTCGGTTTCACACTATTTGCGATCGTCAGATAACAATCCAATATGGCTACACCTACCTCGAGATAGAGAAAGAGACGTTTAAATGGCTTTTACTAAATAGAGCACCTCGTAATAATAATTCTTTTGCTCAGCCTTTCACTCTTCGTACCTGTCCCCCCCCATACATATATTCATCCTATAAAAGAAAATTTCTTAAGCCAAACACGAGCAGAATCTTTATCGCAACGTCGTCAGTGTGCTCAGCGTCAGCGTACAGACGATGCCGTATCAAACGACAGACAAGAGAACAGGCCTCCTTCATTTGACCAGGGTTAGTCATATCTCATTTCTGAACGAAAGCAAAGTCCTTTCGCCCTTGCATGCAAAAGAAAAATATCCACCAAGAGACCACCCTTTCATCAAATTATATGGCTTCCAGTATTTCATCAAGGCACCAGGAGACTTCCATTGACAGAATTTTCTTCATGCCGCTTTTGCATTCGACGGGAAGCAAGAAATGTGTACAATTCATTCAAAGTTAGAGTTCATGTGTATCAGTAATTCCGACCATTTGGTCGCCATGATAATCAATATTCTTTTGTCAACACACTGACTGTACCAGATTGGTCTTACCATGCCAAAGAAATAACCAAGGTCCAATTTCTCTCAATGAATGCAAATTTATGGCACATCAAATTCTTTAGGAAAGTCACACGGTTCCAAACACGTTCCTAATTTTGATTTCGCTTCCTTTAATAATATTTAATAATATAGACAGGCAGAAAGGGTTGCAATAGGGTGATGTTTATTATTGAATTAATTATTCCGACTAATATCTTCATCTTTGCTGTTTTGATCACTACATTTCAGTCGAGTTGTAGCCAATATTCTCCAGTGCTGTCTGGCAATCTTAGTTAAAATACTGTTATCATTTAAAAGGAATTTCGGGGTAAGAATACAATTCTCCTCTCTCCAGCTGTTGATTAAAGAGCAAGGTGGACCGGGCACTTGGACGGCTTATAGTCTACGAGAAGGACAACACTGAATTAGATCTAAATGCAGATTATCAGAAGAGACTTTAGCTATCAAACATCATTTAAGCTTATTTCACT